CAAAAGATCCAAAAGTTCAATCTTATATTCTTATCTTTATTATCTAAGAGCTTTCAGAAGGTGTACAGTACACAAATAAATCTGAGCTGTAAAACGCAGAAAAGCACATGCAAGAAGAAAAGATTCATTAACTAACAGGTGAACGGTTCACACCCCTCCTCACTGTGTTTCTCTCCCGCAGCCACACATTGTTTCCCCTACGTAAAGAAGCGTATTGCAGTGATGTATCAACACCACACTGATCTGAGCCCCATCGAGGTGGCCATCGATGAGATGAGCAAGAAGGTGGCCGAGATCAAGCAGCTCTGCTCCTCCAGTGAGGTGGACATGATCCGTCTGCAGCTCAAATTGCAGGGCAGCATCAGTGTCCAGGTGCCTGCTTTGTCAACAATTTGTCAACATGTACACACACATACGCATACTAGACAAACATGACAAAATATCTATCATGAAAAAAAATGACACGACTCCTACATCCTCCCTCAGGTAAATGCAGGACCGCTTGCATACGCCCGAGCTTTTCTGGACGATGCGAGTGCCAAGAAGTATCCTGATAACAAGGTCAAACAGTTGAAAGAGGTCTTCAGGTGAGATGAGATGTCAGCAGCTTATAATGTGCCTGAAAATCATTTAATCATTTACTGCTTTGTGTAATTCTCCTTTAACACAACGTAACATATTTTTTTTGAGCAGACATTTTGTGGAGGCATGTGGCCATGGCTTAGGCATTAATGAGCGGTTGATCAAAGAGGACCAACAGGAGTATCACGATGAGATGAAAGCCAACTATAGAGACCTAGCCAGAGAGCTGTCCATCATCATGCATGAGCAAGTAAGTACAGTATCAGCAACTAAAGTATCAGTGTAATTACTTTCTGCATTACTAATGTTACACCAGTAATCTGCCTCTGATACGGGTTTTGGCGAGTGAAGTGCCATTCATAAGATGTTTGATAATGTGACAGATAACACACTCTTTGATAACACCATTCTCTGTTTTTCCCTTGTGCTGACATGAGCAGATTGGATGGTAATGCAAGAAGCACCACTATGCAATAAAGACTGAGTTGATAATTGTTGGTACAGCCAGACACAAGCATCTGTTCTCATATGTTATTCTAAATTTATATCATATTCCCAATGCAAATCTTAATGTTAAAGTAATTCTTGACCCCTCTGTGTCTTGTGATTGACATATAAATCAAATTTTTACACCTGTGTAATATTTCTTGAAGCTGTCCTACTGTGTAAATGACTGAAACACAAACCTCAATACTCTAATGTGCATAATGTTACAAAACAAATACAAAGTTTAAAAAGAAAGCTGCTAAAGCTAAGGTCCATCTCTTGACCTTAAAGACAACAACTAGATTGGCAAAGTTATCTGATCAGACCACAGACAGGCCTTATCTTTACATCCCTGCAATAAAGAGGAAATTAGCTTAACATAAAGTATTCTCATACATGGAACGTACGTCTACTGTCCAAATCCTCTTGATGGCCGCATTTTCACTACCGATTAATGTTGTTAAATTGTTAATTGTTTGGTCTATAAAATATCACAAGACAGCAAAAAATGGCCCTGTGTTCCCAAGGTGATATCTTCAAATGGCTTGTTTTGTCCAACCAAAGATATTCAGTTTATTATAATGTAAGACAAGAAAAAATGCTAACACTGAGAGGCTGGAGCCATTACATTTTTGGTGGTTTTGCATGAAAATCAAAACATAAACTCTATTCTCCCTCTACTGCGAACACCCCTGATGCAGCTGGCTAGACCAACATCATCACTTACTTTGGACTTTGGATTGCCGACATGTATTTTTTTCTGCATGTGTGTATAGCATGTATGTATGCATGTACGTACATGCATCTGAATGTGCGTGCTTATACATTTGTTTTAGATACACAAATCTTGTACTTTTAATGATATTCTGTTGATGTTATTTGGATTGGTTGTTTTTACTTTTGTTCATCTTCATGAAATGAGTGCACCTTAAAGGGGCAGTATGACATTTAGAAAAATATAAAAACGAGAAGATTGATACAACTATCATGGCTCTATGGTAAATATACGCTTACAGCTGGTAGCTGATAATCTTAGCATAGCATAAAGGCTGTCAACAGGGGAACAGTTAGCTTGGCTCTGTCCAAAGCTAATACACCTATTAGCCTATCAGCACCTAGTTAACATGTTACATTGTGTGTACAAAATCTGAAGTGGAAAAAACTTCATTTGCCAGACAGAGCCAGGCTAGCTTGTGTCCACCCATTTCCAGATGTTATGCTGTAGCTTCATATTTACAGACATGTCAGTGGTACCGAACTTCTCATTTACCTCTCAGGAAGAAAGCAAATGTTTTCCAAAATGTCAAACTATTCCTTCAAGTAAAAACGTCCCTTGGCAGTAATTCAGGTACTGAGGTATTTATGATGGTATTGTGAATACTATCTCTTTCTTCCTTCCCCCTCAGATCAGTCCTGTGGAAGATGGCATGAAGAGCGTTCTTCCAGACTCACTTCACATCTTTAACGCCATCAGCGGCACGCCAACTAGTGCCATCATCCAGGGCATCCCCAGCTCTTCCTCGGTGGTATGATGCTTGCCCGGGTCAGTCTTGAGCCCAGCGCCCTCTATACTCGCCAACCAGGCATGCCGGTGATGCCATAAAGTCACTTCTAAACCCCCGATCCTGCTTCTCTTCAGTCAGCTTAAAGGGAGACCGACAAAAGCACAGACAACTCTGACAACCGCTCACCTTTCTCAGTGAACCATGACCGAGACACTGGACCTATTTACACACGGCATGGTAACTGTGTTGGATGTGGCCAATTAAATTTTTTCTGAGGTGAAGCCTGGGACCTGAGCAACAAGAGAAGGGATCACGCAGGAGAGATAACAGACTTATGGTGACAGAAATAATCAGTGACAAGACATATTCTCTTCACTCCCTCACCACTTTCTACCTGGAAAGACTGGGAAGTGTTTCCACGGAGATATTCCCGCTGGGATCTTTAATATGCATGTCATTATTTCACACCCACCACCCTCCCAGAAGCCCATTTTTGTTTATTTTGATAATGTTTCACATTGTGTTTTTGTATGTACAGTATTCCACTTTTATAAGCCACTGTATTGATGTCTTGATGAACAGTATATGCTGCATACATCAACGCCCATCTCCCTGTACATGAAGACATATTTCTACAATAATGCAAATTTGCAAAAGGGCCTCCTGTGACTCATGTTAGCATTTAACCTTAAATCACTTCAATGTCTTAGAACGGGGAGCGTTTTTAAATATTTAAAGCCATTGCATACAAAAAGTATATTCCAAGTTGTTTATTACTGTATATAAAAAAGGAGTGTGTGCAATATTTGCAAAGTATCTTGCTGTGTGGGGCTCATACACTGTAAAGATGATGTTCACCTTCTTGCCAAAGTGATGAGGTGTGGAACCAGACACTACGCCTACTGTGGAAGTATATGAAGCTTTTACCATTTTAGTGTTCATTGAAATGTTCAAGAAATTGTTTTATATTTGGGAAGCAATGGGTTTTTTTTTATTTTTATTTAACGCAAAGTCACTGTTCTGCTGTAAACAGAGATCCCTAATGCTTTTAAATAAATTACACTCATTTCTCTGCACTTTTACTCACGAATCCTTGTTTTACTTAGACGTTTATTAAATGATTCCTGTGTTTATTCCTGTGTTTAGCTCTTGGGAATTAATACTTTTTATGAGGTGTCAGGAACTGAACATAGCTGACTCCCTATCTCCTATATCTCATGTTCCCACCCATCATAAAAGCGACAGTCAGCAGTGTGGAAGACACATCGAGGGCTAATAAGAAGCAATATTACGAAAACACTCCCACTCCCACTAGTGAACAGGGAAGGATCAATTATCAGCTGCTCTCTGCAGGAATCTCAAAGGAATATCAAACTGCAGTAGAAAGTAGAAGGCAGCAGCTTCACTCGTACACCATGACAGGTGAGTTTGCAAATATTTCTTATATTTTCTATTTTTATCCAAATCCAGAAAGGATAATATTCCACAGAAGAGTCAGAACAAAAAAAACTCTTAATGCCATATTGTTTCTTTAATTCCATACTAAAAGAGATAGAAATTTTATAAATTACAGCTGGTTATTTAAACTAGTTTTATCTTGTGCGCAGATAACGAGGATCCCAAGAAAGGGAAGAAGAGCAAAGGGACGGTAAAGTACTTAATTAATTCAACTAACTAGATGTTTATGTAGTTTTCTATTTTAATTGTTTGCTGAGGCTAAATTATAATCCATAGGACCAAAGCAACCACCTCAAAATGCCATTCACTGTATTACTGCTATAAATTACTGAATATTTTGCAGGACTTAAGTCAAATGAGTA